CAGGCTGTTCTGCCGTGCGAGCCCCTCGTGCGGACGGAACCGGAGGCTTTCCCTAGACAGCACAGGCTTGACCCGAGGTCGCCAGCTGTGCTAGTAGGCACCGCACACATCGGCGCACCGTTGAGACGACGGGGCCGGACTCCCACCCCGGCCGTCCCTTCGGCCCCGGCCCTCCCCCGAGCATGGTGAGGGACTCGAATGAGCCAGGCGGGATTCCTGTGAACTAGCAACACCCCCTGTCCCCCCCTTCGCCGTGCCGAGGGTCTGATGTGACCCGCTGTCTCAGCCCGCGGTTCTCGCGGCTCGCTCCGCTCCTCCCCGCCAGAGGGTGGCAGAGGCACGGGTACCGCTGCAGGAGAACACCTGGATGCCTGTGACTTGCCCTCAGTGTTGCCATTAGATGACGATTTTATACCAGACATCCCTTCGCTAAAGCCAGAAACATTAAGGCAACAAGTTTTTTGTACCTCTGACTACCCCATGTTTGTGTTACTCCATCCCACACCCCGAATGTGCTTAGCCAACATTTTGTGGTGGTGCTGTATTTCAGCATGCCACAGTAGCTACGCAGATGCCCAAACCAAGCCCTTCTCAAAAAGATGTCACGTAAGGGGCTGGGAGGAATCTGCAATGAGACGAGAGGAGGGGAAACAGCCCGCTGGAGCCAGAGAATTTCATCGTGTGCAGGAGATGATGGGCAGCGCAATGAGCAGCAGGGCTGTGTCCTTTCTGAAGGACTCGAGGGAAAAGCAAAAACTTACAAGCCCGTTTTGTAAAGGAAACCGTCCGACTGCCAGCAATAAGTAGCCAAGACGACTGTTTTACTCTCTAGGAACTGGACCTGCAACAAAAACACTGGCATCACAAAGACTAGTTTTTAAACATAGCTTTACAGATATTAATGGCCCTAGCTGACACGACCTTTTCTTATAGCTAGACTATAATTTTAAAGCTGGTTTCAACCAATCGAGCATTTGCTCAGTGCAGAGCGTGTAAAATAAAACTCTAACTAATTGTCTTTATAAACGTAGACAAACGTTCAAAGAAAGTCATGGCAGGATTGCAGTACAAAGAGTGTACGAAAGACCACGCAAAGAACCCCTAAGCCATCAGCGACTGTGAGGCACAACCCAGCCGGGTGTATGTCCGACACGCTTATTCCTTCCCTTCTGGCTTTCCAGAAGTGCATGTATCTGGAATAAACAGACATGTTTACATTTATGTTTAACATAAATAACATGTAAACATCCTCGTAGAAGCCGAGGCCCGCGAGGGGAAGGAGGCAGACAATGAAGGCCAGTGAGCCTTCCGTGGCACGCTGGAAACACTCTCCAGCACGGCGAGGAGCCCGGCGGCGCGGCGCTCCCGGCTCTCCCCTGCGCTCAGCACCG